GGGTTTATAGGGTTTTCGCTGGGTTTAAAGTTGCATTGGGTCGAATATGATTATAAGGGCGTCACTTGTACGAGATTTGAGAGGTTCTTCAGGGATCTATAGGAGTTTGGGGTATAATTCCGGGCCTTCATCATTAGGCCAGGGTTTTGGGTGATATTATGCTGCAACTGCTACAATAAGAAGCCCCACCCTAAACCCTAAACCAATTATGAAGGCCGCTACATGATTATTCTCCGTGCAAGACATGTTGAGCGTACCTAAAACCTTATAAGCCCTAGACCTTAAACCAAACCCTACTCAGGTGCGAGAAATCCCCACAACCCAAACCCCCAACCGTCCCAGACCCCAGGTTGTCGTTTGCGAACATGAGCAAAGATCCGGATGCCGACTATAGGGTTTAGGGTTTAGGGTGACCCACCTCCAGCAAGATCTTCCGCCAAGTGTGAACTCCGAAGCCACGAGAACTGAAATGCAAAGCCCGAGCCCGAACGCCCTGGGGCACCACGTTGGACGACTAACAGGATGAGCGCCGCCCAGCGCGGCTACTCCGTTTCCCAAAGTGTGAGGATCAGAGCCCAAGCCTCTTTTGAGTGAGGCACTATCCGCAGAGTGGCTGTTGCAGTCTGATGTGGAAGATCCTCTGTCTTACCTTCCTGTTCTCGGCGGTAGCTGGCGACGAGTTCCTCAGCCGGAAAGGGGCCACCAGGGCCAGGTGCCTCCTCCAAGGCTGGGCCAGCGACGCGCACCCTGGCGAAGCGACATAGACGCGCCCCGCCCCAACCCTCAAAAGGTCCTTCCATGGGCGTTTGTCAAATCCAGAATTCTAGGCACAGCTGGCTTTGGGTTTTGGGATTTGGGTGTAGGGTTTTTGGATTTTGGATTTGGTCTGTTTTATGTCATATTCTTTGTAACCATTGTAACCTACACCTGAAATCCGAATCCCTAAACATTGTCTGTTTTCCCAACCCCAACCGTACAGCACGAGCAGCACAGCCTTGTAAGTAGGCCAAACTCTGCAAAGTTTGTCCTATTCAACCCAGGCAAGCGAAGGACCTTTTGAAGGTGGCCCAGGATTGCTTCACACCGCAGACGAGCCCTGGATGACTTTGAGCTTACACCATACCTAAACCCTAAGGAACCTACATTTTTGGGATCCTTATGATTTCATTTCTTTGTTTTGAAACGGTAGGTTATTTGGGGTTAAAGTAGGCCCTGAAACATTTTCGTGGGTTATTCGAGGAAAGCTGTCCGTATCTGAGCGGTGCTGGGGCTGTCTGCGACTCTAGGACCGTAGTAGAAACTGCCTGATAAAGGACTACCAACACTGGACCCCAAATGCTAACCCCAAACTCACTCAAAGTAGAAAGACTACCAATCCCACTTGTCCAGGCAAAAGGACAAAAATGCACCCACATTTGCAGGGCTTAGCAGGATTTCATGAGATGTCTTAAGGGTTGTCAATAACACCCTAAACCCAAAATTAGTTGTTTAAAAGATCCCAAAGATCCCTAAAGCCCAGGACAGCAAGCAGCTCCAGCTCGAGCCTTCGAGCTGCCCCGAGTGTGTGTCTGAAGTCTGAGCCTTGCCACCGGCTGCGTGGTGCGGAAGCTTCACCAGCTCTGGGGTTGGAGCCCTGAGCCTTGGCTCTTCGAAAGCTCTTTTGCCGTCTGGTTTAGGGCTTTATGGCTTCAGGGCTTTGTATTGTGTGAGCTGTGGGGTTTAAGGTTTAAGTTTAAGGTCTCTCTTCTCGTGTGAGGTCTGGGGTTTAAGGTTTACATAAGGTCTCTCTTCTTCAGGAACAGAATGTCTGAAGGTCTAGGAGAGGCTAGGATTCAGGATTGAATATCTGGGGTTGCTCTTGCTGGAGACAAAGTTTTATGTATGATATATGTATGATATATAGGTAGAAACCGCACATCCTATATAACATAAGTATATATATATATATGTGTCTATATATACACATGTATATACATACAGATAACGTGGAGTAATCCCCTCAACGAGAGCCCAGGAGCTGGCGGGCTCTGGTTCGAACACTGGGGGCCCTTACGATGCCCTAGACGCGGGCATCACCCTGGTGGGCGTGGAGACCCCTTCCGGAAGTTGGCAGTTCATGCTGCAGAAGCCGCAGGCTGCAAAGGCTGCAGGCCAAGTCTCTGTGAGAAACTCTTAGGGTTCCTCCCATGTGGTAGCTGTGCACAGCCATCACCGTGGCGATGCTACCGAGCAGCAGGAGGCGGATCTCATCCGCTTCGCTGAGTCTTGCTTCAGCAACACGGACGTGGACACCTCCAACCTTGGCAGCTTGCAGCTCACTTTGGGCAACAGCGTGGACTGTGTGCTTCAGAGATGCCTCGAGGCCTGGGGCTTTAAGCCGGAGGAATCCGTCTATGGCTCAGATGCTGGTGGCCCTTACGAAGCTTACGGCCTCGGTGCTACGGTGATCGGGGTAGAATCCCCATCAGGCAAGTGGGACTTCGTGTTGCATCTGAAGTAGTCTTCAGCTCGGCAAGGAGCGGCGCCATCTAATGCAGATGTACAGCAAAGGGAGCAAGAAACATGCTGGTGCAGAGCTTTTGTTCAGTCGCCCTGTTTCAGACTGAGGGCGAGTGTGGGTGCCTAGCAAAGGCAGGACCCCAACCGCACGTTATTTGTTATCTTTTGGCCACCGATGCCGATGAATCGCATCCAGCCTGCCCCGTGCGTCAGCCGCATGCCGCTGCGAAAGTCTCCAGTCCTAGATGTGGGTTGTGCTCTTGGGTTTCCAGACTAGGCTTAGTTGAAGAATCCTCTGAAAAGCTTCTCGGGTCTCAAAGCCCCGGCAGGCAGAGGTATTGTAGTCGCAGAAGAAGAAGGAGCTTTTCCACCAGTCATCTAACCCTGAACCTTAAACCCTAAACCCCTAAACCCCTAAACCCAAACCCCTACGAACTGTCCTTGCTGGTGCAGGCCGCTCCACGTCTGACTACTCGCTCAGCGAGTCTCCCCCTCCAGGAGACATGGCTTGGGTTTAGGATTTGAGAGTTTCCGAAAATTAGGGGTACCTTACCCTGGGGCCTTATAACAAGGATCCTACTATTTAGGGTACTAGATTAGGGTCCCCTATTTTCGGAAACTCCCATTTAGGGTCCGTGTGGTTTAGTGCTGGAGGCCCTAAAGGTCTCTGGGATAATTCGTGTAGGGGGGGGGGGTTGCTTGCACCTAAAGAACTTCCGGCTATCAAACCTGTGCAGCGCTGGGCCTGCAGACAACACCAGATTGATGAATCTGAACATGTTTTCATATTTTATGATAGTATATTATCTTACATGGCGGTTGTGGCTCAAGCTGCTTCGCGGGTTCTCGTCCCCTGCCCAACCCACAGCCGAGAAGTTCCCCGAAGGAAGCATTCAAAACTGAGCCCCTGAGAGAACACATTGCCGTTGTCACATTATCATATCACGTTATGTTATAATAGTAAAGTCATATGATCTGAGACATTGCACCAAGCTGCTTCCTTTCAGTTTGGTTTACTGGAGGCACGAGAACCAAAGTTCCCGCCACCATTTCCTGAAATCACACTGCAGAGTTTTCCTGTGGCCATGCTGAGCTGCATGCCTTATGTCGGCTGTGGCTCCATCCTTTGATGTACATAGGCCGGGAGTCGCTGTTCAAGCAATCATTTCCCCGCCTTATCGGGAGGGTTCGAGATTCTTGACTTCTGAGGCCTTGGGGCTCTGAAGCTGCATCCGAAAATTTGCTCTAAACCCTCAACCCTAAACCCCTAAATCCTGAACCCCGAAGCCGTCTGGCTGCAACCTCGGCAGAGTCTATGGGCTCAGAGTCGATTCGTTCCATAGTCGCAAGGTACCCTAAACCCTCGGCCCTAAACACTAAACCTGCAAGTAGACAAGGTGCCTCAAAAACGAGAGCCCTAAGCCCTAAATCCATGTTGATGAGCTCCGACCTGGACCTGGTCTTCTCCACTATTTGGAGGATCGTGGGAGGTAGTACGTAGGGCAATTTATAAGTACCCTAACTGTGGTCATAAGCAGCTACCGCTATAGTTACCACATTTAGAAACCCTAGTTGCTAAGTTCCATGATCCTCCATGTATGGGGAAGATTGCAAAACTTGTCTGTTCAGGTGTTTGGCCAGAGTACCAGCTGGCCAAGTTCGTGGCAGAGGCAAAGCCTTCTGAAGCCAATGGACGAGGCCTTCTGCAGATTTAATGATTCCCAGAATCCTGCTATTATCATGATCTTCGTATGTTTCCTACTATTGACTGTTGTCACGGCTGTGCTTGCTGTCAGAACTGTTGTCGGTGAGCATGGAAATGATGCGGATGGCACCATGGAAGTGACATCCGCGGATTATTGTGTCAATAATAGTAGTTGAGGCCATGATGCTAATGTTTACCATACAGATCAAAGTGATATGTACTTTGTGTAAACAAAAGAAGTATGGTGGTAATGATGAGAATGCTGATGCCGCTGAGATTGATGGTAATGGTAATAACGGTCAATGGAATAGGAATGTAACTCATGAGAATGATGGCGCCAGTTATGCGGGTTTCCAAAAATCGGGGACCCCAATGTAGTACCCTAAATAGTAGGATCCGGATTATAAGGCTTAGTAAGTAAGGTTATAAGTACCCTCATTGGGCTTATAAGTAATTATAATTATAGCTGCCTTATTTTTAACCCTAATTACTAAGTCCCATGATCCTCCAAGCGTGCAAAGCAACTGCCTCCGGCGAAACTCCTTTAAACGCTGAGCCCAAGCCCAGATTCGGCCAGTTAGGGGTACCTTATTTTGGTGTCCTTATAACAAGGATCCTACTATTGAGGTTACTATATTAGGGTCCCCTATTTTGTATTCCAGAGGTTGCGGATTGCTATAGAAGCCTTACCTTAACCCTGAAAAACCTACTTTTTTAGGGTTCCTTATTATGATTTCCTTATATAAGTCCTTAAAAATGTAGGTTCTTCCGGGTTAAGGTAATAGTAACCTTTGACTAGCTCTTCCGTCCACCTGCACCATGTGGCATGCAGTTACAATGCATTCAATGTGTCTCATTACGTTTTGAGCGTGTCAACATTCCCTTGAGAACCTCTTGGGGCACCGCTGCAGTGCACCCAGGGGCTCGAAATACCACCATAAAGCCCTGTTGCACTGGCAAATTCTAGTAAAAACCATCAATCAAAACCTAAACCCTAAACCCGAAATCCTGGAACTTAAACCCCAAACCATAAACCCTGAACCCTGAGTTATAATAAGGATCCTATTAATCCTACTGTTTAGGGTAAGACGATTAGGGTCCCCTGTTTTCGGAAACTTAAACCCCAAACCACAAACCCTGAACCCTGAGTCATGAAGCACTTGGAGCTCGCATGGCTGCATTGGATTTGTTTGCCTTTTGGCCTCTCAAATGCCTCGCGCAGGTGGCAGCAGAGAGCCCAAACAGAATGCGAGCTCTGTGGACCCATGGTGACTCCGCTGCAAAGAGAGCTGAAACACCGGGACCCTTAGACAACCCTCAACGAACCTTTTTTAATCCTCTAGAATGCCACGACCCCAACAGACCCTATAGAACCTTGTGGAACCCCAAAACAACCTGTTGAACCCTAAAGTAACCCTGAACCCCAAACCCCAAAACCCGAAACCCTAAACCCTAGGCCCAAAACCCGAAACCCCAGGCCCAAAGCCCCAAACCCCAAAACCCGAAATCCTAAACCCTAGGCCCAAAACCCCAAACCGCAAACCCAGAACTCCAAAACCCCAAACCCGGCGTTGAAGGCCGCGCTGCCACCGCGTGGACGTCGTGGATCCAGCTGAGCTCGCCGAGCAGTCCTTCAGGAGCCAGAGATGGATCCTTAAAAGGGAGGGTTTAGGGTTTAGGGGTTTAGGGTTTAGGGGTTTAGGGTTTAGGGTTGAGGGTTTAGGGTTTAGGGTTGAGGGTTTAGGGTTTAGGGGGAGCCCTTGTAGGAGATCTTAAATTCAGAACCCTCAACGGAGCCGCTATAGGAACCTCTAAAGGACTAAGGAAGCCGTGAAGGAACTCTTAGATTCAGAGCCCCAAAGGTTGAAAAGAGAGCTTGAAGGTAAAGGCCCCCCGTCTCGGGGATGCCGAAGCACCAGGATGCCCGGAAGGCTGTAGAACTCAGGGCGGGTTTGCACACACCAACGAGCACCCATAACATCTCCCCCAAACCCCAAAATCAAAAAACCCTAGAACCCTAAACCCTAAAGCGCTAAACGCTAGAACCCTAAAGCCCCAAAACAAACCCTAGAACCCTAAACCCTAAGCCCTAAAACCTTAAAGCCCTAACAGGCCTCAAACCCGAAACCTTCAAAGGCCTCAAACCCTAAAATCCTAGCATCCTAAAACCCTCAAACCCTAATCCCAACGTCATCCCTAAAAGGGCCTAAATCCTCAAACCCTGAGCTTTTTTTCGACTGCCGAGGAGGGCGTGGGCCCAGGCGCGGGATCCTCGCCCGCCCGGCCCGCCCGGTGAGCCGAAGCTCTCCGAGGAGCTGGTGGGTTTTTGATTGTGATTCTAATATACTATATGATATAGGATATAACATACTGTATAATTAGTATACTGTATGATGTACGGTAATATATTAACATAATGTGCCTATAGTATACTACTATGATATATCATAATGTTCTACAGTATTATACTATATAATGCAATAGAAATGCAATAACATACTATAACACACTAAAAAAGGCTACAGTATCTTATTGCTGTCAAGGCCTTGAGGGTTTGAGGGGTTGAGGCTTCAGGGCTAAGGGGTGAAAGGTTGAGGGTTTAGGGTTTTTGGGGTTCAGGGCCAAGGCTTTTGGGGGTTTGGGGTTGAGTTCAGGGTTTGGGCCTTTTGGGGTTTTAGGGTTAGGGTTTAGGGTTTGAAGCCTAGGGTTTTAGGGTTTAGGGTTTTAGGCCTTTTAAGGGCTTTAGGGTTTTAGGGTTTGGGGTTGAGTTTAGGGCTGAGGGTTTCGGGCTTGGGGTTAGTTTGAGGTTCGGGGTTGAGGGTTTAGGGTTCGAATCCTTCGCTCGCTTAGGGTTTTGGGAAGTCTAGGGCGTGTATTGCTTAGGGTAGACCTTCCCATGCTCAGTGGGGTTGAGACAGGACTCTGTTAGTGCCTTGGGGTCTGCTTGCGCGTGTGATGGGGCCGTGATGGGCACAAGGATTTTGGGCTACTAGTCACTAGTCGGGGTTTCCCGGATTGATGGACCCTAAACACTAAACCCGGCAAACTTCGTGTTGTATTTGGTGTGTTTGGAGGATCCTGGACGGGATTTGCGGGGTTTCAGGTGGCTCTCGGATCAGGGTTCTACTTGTAGGCGGCAGAGTGGAGGGTTTAATGCAGGAACCTGATTAAGAAACCCTGGGCCAAAAACCCCAAAACAGTAGGGTTCATATTAGGAACCCTGATAAAGGCCCCAGGTTTCTTAATCAGGTTCCTACATCAGGTCATTGCGGATTCGGACTCTTCGAAGGCATTCG